CTATTAGTGCTGGCAATGAATCCAACAGATCGGTATCACGGCCGAGAATTTATCTGTGGCGCGGGAGCCAGCCCAGAAAGAGGCGGCGCAGCTGCCCACTCCCCTCCCTCTCTCACTCCCTTCCGCTCACTTCGCAAACAGCGCCAATCATGTTTGCTCGCGACGCTACCCTCGGCGCTACCTCGCTCTCCCTCTGTCACGCCACTGCCGGCTACAGACCACTACAGTCGGAATGAAATATTTCCCCGACAAACAAACAGCCAGGCGAAGAGACCACACCCTTATGGTCTCGTCGCGGTTTTAGTAACATCCTGGCGAATCGCATGTGTAGTCAGCTCGTCTGGTTCACGCTAAAGCGCGGGCCAGCAGCAGTATACTTGTTTACCTCCAGTGGTTTGGCGGCGAACACCCCGTGCCACCGCGCATTTGATGAAGAATTCGTCACATCATTCATTCGTGTCACCAAACTTTCCTCACATGGCCTGTGCACGAGCAAAGTGCTCTTCGATCCTAGAATATCCTATTGCTGCCCATGCTCCTGTGATACGCACCTTACGACAATAGTGTGAAGTAAGAAAGTCAAAGTATTAGCTCAAATAATTGAGAGGGTTACACACACAAGATAAATAAAGTGGGGGTGCAATATATTTTGTTAAAAACCATCTTGTTAAGTGCACTTTCACTGCCCAATTATCTGATTTCACGGTGAGAGCGATATCCTGGTATCCAGTTTTGGAAAATCCAAGACGTTCCCATTTATAGTTCTATTATAAAAGATGTGCTTGGCGTCTTTGTTTTACAGGACCACCGGAAACGTGTGCGACGTGTGCGACGGCTAGCACAACATCACTCCTCTTTCTGTTTCAGAATCCCCGGTCCAACAGCCGGCAGGTGACCTTGAAGCAGGTGTCCATCCGGTCCAGCGGGGTGTACAGGTGCGAGGTGTCCGGGGAGGCGCCCTACTTCCACTCGGCGCACAGCGAGGCCCGCATGGAGGTCGTCTGTAAGTATCGCCCGCTTCACGTCAGTGCTCTTCTGACGCAGCGCAGCGCTCGGCCGCGCGGCGCCTCGTCTGCTCGTCAGTTTTCTGCATCATCCGCCTTAAAGTTCGCGCGAACAGACGGGCTCTTTCGCCCGGTCCGTACCGCCCGTCCGACCCCCGCCAATCCCCCGCCACCTCCAAACACTCCCCACCACCCCCGCCACTTCCTAACAACTTTCTCATTACACTAAGTGATGTCCGACCGTTTTGACAATTCGAGTCTCTACGTCCTCGGCAGCTCGGCTATGGTGCCGGGGAGGTCTAAATAATATCGTAAAAGTAGGAGGAAGGCTCTTAGGTGGGGAGAAAAAGAAAAATCCTTCTCATTTTGTTATTTATTCATCCATTTTTGGGCGGTCTAGAAGCAGGCATAAGAAATAACACTCCTCCCACAAAGGGGGCTTACACAAAAAAATTCTTAGATTTGTTGCCTTGATTTAATTTTGTGTGAAGGGCTGGCCGCCTGCAGAGGACCAAGCAATAAAGGAGTTCTGACTCGCGAATCCCGCTGTGTTCGTGACGCCACTCCAAAGCCCATGCGGCCTGGCCTGCCCCTCCCACCCTGCGCTCCCTCCCACGAGCTTCGCTTTTTGCTTTTGTCCCCGGATCAAGACTCAAGACAGAGCTGACCTGAGCCTGAAGAGGGCCCAGCGCACAGCGGGCGTCGTCAAACCAGAACCGAATAAACATCAATAGAGTCTAGATGTGCGAATACAGGGCTGGTGAGGGGGGTAGGAGCGGGGCAGTCGCTCTCTCGAGGCGTGCGTTTGATGTTGCGTGGCCTTGTTAATCGGAGTATAAAGGGCCCCTCTCAATTTGCCGCTCCGCCTTACATATTTATTTCGGAGTCCCGCTTGTCCATCACCGCCTTATCATTATTTATGTATTCTCGTTTCGTTCGTTTCCCCCCGCATCAGGCGCGGCGGTGAGGAGGCGCTGGGCGAAGACCGCGCCCCGTCCTCCAGGAGCCCGCTTGGGAAGCTGAATGGTATGGGGACCGACCCGGACCGACCAGCCCGAGTCTCAAGAGCGTCATTTGTTGAGGAGACAGAATAGATATGGAACAAAATGGATAAAGACGCTCGAAACTACTAGCAGGTGGACACGTGGGTGGCGGATGCTGATTTCAACTGTGACCTTATCAGGTGCCGATGCAGCGCTCAGGAGCCAGGGCGGGGAGGGGACGCTGTGAAAGATTAATGCTGACGCGAAGGAAATAGATTGAGATCGCAGCAGACGGACGGAGAGGGTGGCGGGGCGGGG